GAATGGGAAGGTAAGCTACCTGTTAAAAGTTTGATTGGCAAATACTGATAGAAATATAACTTATATTTGTGACATATATAGATAAAGCAAAGTAATACGCATTCCACCTGAACTTTAAAGGGGCACGCAGAATTATCCCGCATCTGTCTACAAGAATGATAACACATGTGCTGAATAGTGAAGTACTACTTGTCAAATGTCTGAATGAATGCACTAACTCTTGTGGGTGTCAACCGAGCAAGAAATATTTGAGTTTTCTGCAAGAAATTGTTCATGTTGTGCTGTATTATACTCCCTCCGTCCGAAATTACTTGTCGGAGAAATGGATGTATCTAGACGTATTTTAGTTCTAGATACATCCATTTTTATCCATTTCTGCAACAAGTAGTTCCGGATGGAGGGAGTATCATTTAACAAATATATGCATGTTCGAAGTAAATCCCCACGAATAAGCACAGAAGACGATATTGCTTTTTGACTTGCAACACCTAAACCTCATTGTTTTCTCCTAGGATTTTGGGTGTTTGAAGCAAGCAGCTGGATGATATTTAATTTACCTTTACCTTTATTTGTAGCTTGATTTGAGGGTGCGACAAAGGTTTTCGCTTAGTAGTATTTTGTAAATTATTATAGTTTATATATATACTCCTCATTTGGGCACTTCCGTACTGGTCCCATAGAAAATAAAAATGGAATTGTGAATTCTGGGTGTCTGGCCAATAATTATTGACAACACTGCTGCGCATTTGGTTTTTATCAGGGAATGAAAAATTGAAATCGGTAAGAAACATTGCGATATTAAGCTTGTACTTCCTCCGTTCCTAAATATAAGTATTTTTAGAGATTTCTATATGGACTACATACGGATGTATATAGACGTATTTTAGAGTGTAGATTCACTCATTTTGCTTTGTATGTAGTCCATATTAGAATCTCTAAAAAGACTTATATTTAGGAACGGAGGGAGTATATGCTAATGCTGGTGGATCTTTAAGAGGGAACATATGATCTTGTGCATCCATTTCAACTAAACAAATATGTTGCACATCTCCCACGTCACTTACTAGCTATTTCATCCAAGTACTAACTTGTGTGGTTGTTTCCTCAGTACCGGGACATTGTGCGTCAATTCATTAAAGGCACTGATGGATTTGCTGGTGGTTTTGCCGAATGTCTTTGTGGAAGTCCACACCTATACCAGGTAAGTTGTGGCAATACTTGTAAATGAGTTGAGTGAATGTCACCTGGATTTTTTATATATACCACATGATGATACACATCTAAATATATAACAATCATAGTGTATGCATATGCATTTGGCTAAGAAGTATTAGTGTATACACTAGTGCTATATATAGGTTTTAACACCCAACTTGCCAATGAAGGAACATAGGGCTTTCTAGTTATCTTATTTATTTGTCCGGTGAATAATCCACTGAAAAATTCCAGCCATGTCATTTTTTAGGGGGGGAGAAGAAACTATATTGATTTGCCCCCCTAAAAGAAGCCATCTCAGAATTCATAGGTAAGTTGCTTTTCTGTAAAGAAAGGAAAACGACTTCATACTTTCTATCGGTGCTAACTTAGCTCGATGTATATTTGTAAGATGAATGCCAAATTTAATTTGTCGGATAATTTGATCTGTTATTCACAAATTTCTATTTGGTTTCTCTAGAAATCAAACCAGTAACTTGTTATTGGCACTGCAACTTCTTATTGATTAATCAGGCAGGAGGAAGGAAACCTTGGCACAGTATCAACTTTGTATGTGCACATGATGGATTTACACTGGCTGATTTGGTAACATATAATAAGAAGTACAATTTACCAAATGGGGAGAACAACAGAGATGGAGAAAATCACAATCTTAGCTGGAATTGTGGGGAGGTAATTCTGAACTCTCCTTTTTTTTTTTTGAAATTTTCATGCTTTACATAATAGTTGAATGGCTGACAAATGTCGTTGTATGGTTCTCTCTCTACCTAAACCGTTAAGGCAGTAAGAGTTTCCCTACAAGATCTCTTTGTTCGTATAATTATATTTTCTAGAGAAAAGTTGCCTTCAATTTTGTGCACACGGCAGTACAGGAATTGTGGTTATAAATATTGATACAGGCTGACCACCGTTACTAATAGGGGGAACAATAAGCACATTTTTTTTAATAGCAAAGGCATCACCCTGGTTCCATTTCCAACGAAATCACAGTATCCGAACCATAAGTTTTACAAGTATGCGTAGAGAGAAATAAAGTATCAACCCGGCAGAAACAGTTGTTTCAGGCGCAAAGAGAAAAGGAAACGATATGCTCTATTACATCAACCTTTTAGAATTTAGGGACGACCAGCATCATCCCATCTTCAATCAACTGGAGCGAGGTCACCTCCAATCTTCTCAGCAGCCTCAGAGTGGTTACCTCCCAAGCAAGTGCATCCGCATCCATCATCTGAGGGTTGGGCACATGCCATGAGCACAATCACCTGAATTTGATGAATTTTCCTCTGTTTACCTTGCAGCAGACCCCTGCCGTATAAATGGTTTTAAATGACAGCATGTTCTTTCAGTTTGGAGCAAAATTTGTGCAATTGCAAAGAAGCTTTAGAATCATGTGTAACATGCACTTACATTTCATGTGAACAATATAGGAAGGAGAATTCGCAAGATTGTCTGTCAAAAGATTGAGGAAGAGGCAGATGCGCAATTTCTTTGTTTGTCTCATGGTTTCTCAAGTAAGACTTATATCTGATCTCTTTAATTTTTGAGATTGCCTGTTTTTCACAATGGCATGTGTTGTCAGGCGAAACATCCAATCCCAATATTAATAGAGCCAACATGAAGGGATTGCTTATCTGAGATATCTGCCAAAGTTAAATTCTTACATTCACCTTCTTCAGTATTTCAGACCTTCTAAGCATTTTCATTTTTTTTGAATTGTTAGGGAGTTCCAATGTTCTACATGGGTGATGAATATGGCCACACAAAAGGGGGCAACAACAATACATACTGCCATGATTCTTATGTCAGTACAATTTGGTCACATATTGTTGTTCTAAGTAACTATCTTCAAATCTTTGCATTCATCCGTCATGGCTCTTCTGTAGGTCAATTATTTTCGCTGGGATAAAAAAGAACAATACTCTGAGTTGCACCGATTCTGCTGCCTCATGACCAAATTCCGCAAGTAAGTATTCCGTTGAATAATTTCTGTGTAGAACCACTGAAGGTGCCTCCAAACGCTAAGCAAGAAGCAATGTCAATTTCACACCCTAATCAAGTTGGTGTTGTCTATTTGTGTATTTGATCTGCTGCACTGTAGGGAGTGCGAGGGTCTTGGCCTTGAGGACTTTCCAACGGCCAAACGGCTGCAGTGGCATGGTCATCAGCCTGGGAAGCCTGATTGGTCTGAGAATAGCCGATTCGTTGCCTTTTCCATGGTACTCATATAGTTCTGACACTTCACTATAGTTGTTTTAAAAAAGAAAATTTAACTCAAAAGTAAATTATGGAGAGTTTTAGAAGTAACAAATATCTTTATGTATCTCACCACAGAAAGATGAAAGACAGGGCGAGATCTATGTGGCCTTCAACACCAGCCACTTACCGGCCGTTGTTGAGCTCCCAGAGCGTGCAGGGCGCCGGTGGGAACCGGTGGTGGACACAGGCAAGCCAGCACCATACGACTTCCTCACCGACGACTTACCTGATCGCGCTCTCACCATACACCAGTTCTCGCATTTCCTCTACTCCAACCTCTACCCCATGCTCAGCTACTCATCGGTCATCCTAGTATTGCGCCCTGATGTTTGAGAGACCAATATATACAGTAAATAATATGTCTATATGTAGTCCTTTGGCGTATTATCAGTGTGCACAATTGCTCTATTGCCAGTGATCTATTCGATCCACAGATACATGTGCAAACTGCAAAGTTTCTGGTAATCAGAGAAGTTTTTCCTGATGACCAAGCTACTATAACATTCATTGGCAATGGAGCAAAAACAAAATGCACAGAGCATGCTCTTCTATCAGTGACACTGAAGGAAGACGAACGATCCACACCGCAGTCAGCAGGGCAGCATAAGGAAGGTAGAAGAAGCAGCAAAACGATGAGAAGATCTCCAGCTCGATCTGCTTGCTGTGCATGCCTGTGTCGATCATGATTCGGTGCTTTCAGGATATGTGATGCATCTGTAGACCCTGCATCTCTGGCATAAGATGTACCCTGCCTGCAGCAACAAGGGACTCCGGTTGGTCGCCGGCGCCGGAGCTGAAGAAGAGGATGGAAATTAAGGTAGGAGAAAGAAGAGAGAACTCACGGCCTTGCAGGTCGGGCAGCGGCGGTAGATCCGGGGGCTGCTCTCGGACTTGACGTTGTTCTTCTTCCCCTTGCAGAAGTCGCACAGCAGCCACCCCGTGCCGCCGCACCCTTCTTCGCACTCTACACCTTCTTCCTTGGGACAACAGCGCAGACGGCAGGTGAGAATTGTTAGCTTGGAGGAGCAGGTGCATAACTTAAGCTAGTCAGATAGTCATGGATCACTGCGAGGCTTGAGAGATGCTAACCTCCATGTCCATGTCCGCCTCCACCTCCGGCGGGGCCGCCTCTGCCGCCGCGGCCACGGCGACCTCCCTGCGGACGGACACGCAGCCGATCCTCCTCGGTTGCCGAGACAGCGACCCCAATGCCGGGGACGGCAGCGGCGGCGATGGGTTGTGGCACCAACCGTGCAGGCTCGTCGCGCTGCACCACTGCACAGCCATTCTCTTCCTTTCTCAGCCTCGCCTCACCACCGCACCCTCCGGATAAAATCGCGAGGGAAAGGTAGGGAAAGGATCCCGCCTCTGACACCTCGGCCCCATGCAGGTCCACATCGGCCAGATCACGACCGCCACGAGTCAAACCGCAAAGCCTGACATCCAGGCCCGCGCAAAATCTTCGTTCGCTGCTTCTACAAGTCGCCTCGAGTCAACACTCTTCACCAGATCTCGCCGCCGCGTCCTCCATGCCGTCGTCGCACCATCACCACCACCATTGCCTTGTCCTCCTCCTCCTCTTCCTTGTTGCCGTCACACTCTCCGCCGTCGCGGCACTCGGAGGAGGAGAAGAGGCGGCCTGCGACGCGGAGTCCCCGCAGGAGGAGGACCTGCGGCCGGACCGGCTCACGGTGCTCCTGAGCGGCTACTCGGAGCGGCGGCTCCCGCTCCTCCGCGCCATCGCGGGAGCCTACGCCGCACACCCGCTCGTCCTCGCCGTCGTCGTGCTCTGGTGCAACCCCTCCACGCCGGACGACCGCCTCCTCCTCCCGCGCTTCCCGCCGGGCGTGTCCCTCCACCGCACCGCCTCGGCCTCCCTCAACTCCCGGTTCCTCCCGCACCCGTCCATCCGCACCGCCGCAGTGGCCGTCGCCGACGACGACGTCCTCCCCAACGCCGCCGCGATCTCCTTCGCGTTCGTCGCCTGGCAGCAGCGGGCCGCCCGCCCAGGCACCCTCGTTGGCTTCTTTCCGAGGTCCCACCACCTGGACCTCGCCCGCGGGAGGTGGGCGTACACCGCGCCGCAGCCCGGCCGCTATTCCATGGTGCTCACCAAGTTCCTCGTCCTCGGCGTGGACCTCCTCCGGAAGTACTCCTGCTCCCCGGAGCTCGCGGCGGCGCGCGCCGTGGTGGACCGGGAGCGCAACTGCGAGGACATCCTCATGAACTTCGTGGCCGCCGAGGTGTCCGGGGAAGGGCCGGTGCTGGTGGAGGCCGGCAGCATCAGGGACTGGGGCGACCCGAGGAACGACGCCAACACTGGCACCGGCGTGGAGGGCGGCGACGCGGCGATGAAGGCCGTGGGGCTGAGCTCGAGAGGCGGCGTGGGGCACTGGGAGAAGCGAGGGGAGTGCATCACGCAGTTCCACCGGCTGCTAGGGAGGATGCCGCTGCGGTACAGCTACGGGAAGGTGGTGGAGGCGGCCGTCGCCGAGCAGGGACTGTGTAGCAAAGGTGGCCGTCTCGTCCGGTGCGACCAGGAGTAGTCGGCTTTGGCGTGGCCTGCTTTGCTGCGCTATTGTTGGGTTTATAAAAAGAAACTCATCGTGTTTTAAAATTAGATGCGTTATTTTTTTTAAAGTCAAACATTTTTAAGTTTGATATTGTGGTTGTCGGCAATTTTGGCTGTGAATTTGGTCAAAGTTAAATGTTTTTTTAAGCACGTCTAAGCATACCAAAACTTTATAGAATGCAGAATTAAAATTATAAGAAACTGCCACTCATTGCGAACAACGAGGGTCGCACACACCACACCACGGTTGATCAAGTCCACATACGGACAACACCGCAAAGCAAGCTACAACACAAAAAAACATATCCTCAGCTGACACACACACCGCGTCGCGACGACGCCGGACATTTCCGAAGACCACCTCTTTCCGTAGAACATCTCCTGTCGACGCACCATCCACACTGAGCGCCTAAGAAGAAGTGGCAAGCGGAAGGCATGACTTGCTCCCATCTGAGGGAGACACCGGCGATGAGCGTACATAGCGCCGCAAAGTACCAGAAAGAGGATAGCGGCGAACACCGGAGGATCGCAATAAGGACCCAGTCGTGTCTCCACAAAAGCTCCCAACAGAGATACGACGTCGATGACGCCGTCAATGTGACGATCCAACTGAATCAAGGCTTTGGCCCGGAGACAGCTACCAACTCCAAGATGTGAGGGGCAAGGTGAACACGCCTCGCCGACGCCTCCAAGAAGGGGATGACACCCACGGGTGCCATCGCCATCGGCCTGATAGGAGCCAAGCAAGATTTTCATCCGCGCATTGCACATCACCACGCTTCTTGAAATCTGGCAACACCGTCCAATTAGCCTCGCACCGCCGCTACCGCAACTCTAAGCAGAAGCAGTCGCAAAAGCCGAAGACCGACGACCGGCTGCACAACAAAGAGGAACTCGGTGACCGCACCAAACTCCCAGCCTGGACAGAAACCACAACCGCCCGCACCTCTGGCAAGATCCAAGACCACCCACAGCAGTCGTCGCCAACCAAAGGACGGCCTTGCGACGGCCGGAACAGAACCTCACGAAGCACCAAGCATCGCCACCGGGAGAGCACCGCCGCTCACCACATCGCACAGAGGTGACCGACCACTCGCTGCTCACCAAGACTCCATCTTGGCCGAGCCATACAGTTGTCGCCACCACCAACCTATTCGTGGGCTCGCGCCACTGCCTTCAAACGTCTCCGCCGACACCATAGCTCACCATCTCACCACCGCCAACTCTGTCTGGGCCCGCCGCCCAACCGAGCCTCCCGCCGAGCATCGGCAGCCAGCCCTCACTCCCAGCCAGCGCAGATCTGACCGGATCAAGCACCGCTGCGAAAAACGCCGCGCCGCCACCAGCCTGCGTGCTCCACCGTGATGCGCCGCCACCTGCCAGCAGGCCGCGCCGCCCCTCACCGCCACCGCCTGCGCACGCCACCCGTTGCGCCAGGCCTCCGAGCTCCGCCGACGCTCCCGAATAAGGAGCCCCCCGCGGCCCCTGATCCAAGCGAGGGAAAAGGAGATCCCGCCTCCGCAGACGCCGCGCGGGCTTTGCCTGGCGGCGCCCGCTGGTGGCAACCGGGGGAGGGGGGAGGGTGGGGGTTGGGTCCGTCGGCTAGGGTTGGGCACCCGGGCCACGGGATGGGGGGAGGCGACACGGGGCTGGGGAGGAAGACAGGGGTGTCTCGAGTTAAAGGAAATTGACTTTCCAAAAATCTAACACCCTTTATATTTTGGAATTGATGTAATATTTAGTCTGGGTGGCAGTGAGATGATGGAGTGCGTATTTTTATAATACGATGTTTGGTGGGTCTTTCCAGGTGTGATTCTGTGTTATCCGCTAATAAACACATATTTATGCGGGGAAATTTCTGCATTGATAGCTGCATGTATTATATTGGTACTACAGTATCACATGGTGGCGTTTCTTTTTTCTAGATGATGGGAGGAAGCACGTGATTTGTATGTTTTTATAGGCCGATTGCCGCTGATTGATTTGGAGAAAAATCATTGGCCCGACCAAAATCGTAAATCAAATCCATACCTCTATTGAATTGAAGAGCTTCAAAATAGGGAATATAATGAATTAACATAATTGAATGGGAGAGCTCCTTAAGAAATTGTTGACCCGATCAAAATTAGTGACTCAATTTTAAATTGAAGACCTCAATTAATTGTGACGCATTAAAAATTAGAAAACACAATGTATAGTATATAAAACAATTAAATGAGATAGCATTGAGAAATTGTTGACCCGATCAAAATCGAATGACCCAATTTTAATTGTAAACCTCAACTGATTGTGAGCTCTTTAAAATTAGGGAACTTAGTGTTATAGAGGATATATGGTTGCTAGCCTTCAGTGACGTGATCAGTGCACAATCTGACGGACTGTACTCCTGTAGCAGTAGAAATTGCGGCAGGACAACAATGTCGACGACATTCAGACTGCTAAATCAAAACTTAGTACTCTGACGGATTGTACCAAACTACCAATGGTGCGCTTTTTACGTGTTCTGACATAAGGCGAAACTTCTTCGTCGATTTGGAAGTGGAACCATGATCTTGCTCGAAGAAGTGTGCAGATTTTTTACGTATGCGACACGGGTTTCTGTTTGAATTTGATTTGTAAGCACGTTTTCACACGAGAGAGTTGTGGGCAAGGAGGCGGTTGCAGCGTCCCGTTGTGCCGCTGAATTAAAATCAGGCCTCCGATCAGGATCGGGTGGCTGGTTTGGGCGATGGGCTCCCCGCTCCCGCTTACAAAATTTAGTCCCACTTCTCCCTACATCGCAGGTAGTGGGCGTTCGTGGGCGCCTGGCTGTCCATTTCCATTCTCCCCCTCTTCTGAACACGCGCGGCGAGAAGCGACAGACAGCAGCCAAGCAGAGCGGAATCCCGCTGAGAGCCGGCCTGCGATTGGCATGGTCGCGGTGGCCTTCAGTGGCAGCCGCGGTGGAGGAGGACGACGACGATGCAGCCGCGCGGTGGCGGTGACCGGGTGGCCGTGAGGAAGGGGCCGTGGACGGCGGAGGAGGACGAGGTGCTGCACCAGCACGTCCGCGAGCACGGCCCCCGCGAGTGGAGCTCCATTCGATCCAAAGGCCTCCTCCCCCGCACTGGCAAGTCCTGCCGCCTCCGCTGGGTCAACAAGCTTCGCCCCGACCCAAGACGTACGTAATCCGCTATCCCGCCTCTCCTCTTCCATTTTCCTCTGGCTCCATGAAGCTTCTTTCGTCTTCCTCCCCGCTGCGCCGGGCTTCCAGTTTCGACCCGCCTGTGGCGTACTCAAGGGCGCCGTGGTTTTGTTCTGTGTGAAGGGGGTGCAAGTTCTCGTCGGAGGAGGAGCGGGTGGTGATCGACCTGCAGGCGCAGTTCGGGAACAAGTGGGCGAGGATCGCGACGTACCTGCCCGGCAGGACGGACAACGACGTCAAAAACTTCTGGAGCACGCGGCAGAAGCGCCTCGCCAGGATCCTAAGGGCGCCGCTGCCCCGCAGGAGGTCAGCCTCAGCCGCCGCCAAACACAGCGGCGGCGTCGGCGGCGTAGGCGCTGCTTCATCTTCTGCGGCGTCGAACTCTCATGAGGCGGCAGCGGCACGCGCTTCTGAGGTGACCCTCTTCTCTTGCTTGCTTTCTCTGAAGAAAAACTGAAATGGATTTGTTGCTTCTGAACTGGACAGCGATCACCCTGTTTCTGAACCTGATTTTGCGCCTCTGTTTTTTCCTGAAATGATCGAGCGACACCTATTCCTCCTGATTTGGGCGGCATAATTACACATTGGTACCTTTTGTTTACTTCTTCTTTTGGTTGACAACAGTTCGACACCAACTCTAATATGCATATTTGGCCATTAGTTTTATAGATTCACATCTTAGTAAAAGTTGACGAAAATTACAAATTCAAGTGGTCATGTGTGTGTGAAGTGATCAAATTTTCCTCTAATTTCACTACTGAAATTTATAATCTTCAAGTTGTCAATGTTTACATAAGAAATAACACAACGTTTTAGTTCAATTAAAACACACTAAAACAACATTTATATAAGACTCGTGTGGACAGATTTCCCCAAGTAGTTTCGAGCCAGTATGATATCTAGAAGAAATACATGTGCATTTTTTCCATTCTCGAACTCAGTCATGCTGCCATTTTATGTGTAATCTGAAGCCTTGAACTGTTGCACATTTCGCCCCTGTGTGGCAGGATCAGTATCGCTGCTTCGGCATGATCCCCTTCCGACAGACGACAATGCACCAGCACCACATCGGCGAGAGCAGCCAAGAACCACCACTCGCGGCTAACCAATATGCAGGCGCGCCATTCTCCGGAGCCGAATCCGTCCTGCCGTTTCCCCTCGGGTTGGCCGCCATGGACGTCGCCGCGGGATGCAGCAGCTCGTACGGCGGCGCTTCGGAAGTTCACCAACCGCTGCCCTTCCTCTACGCCGCTGACCCTGCGCCCATGGTTGATTCGGGAGGTCTCGTCTTCCACGGGAACGCACTGATCGACGGCGGCGTCGGCGTGGCTTACCTGGAGCCGAAATCGGGACCGGAGCATTACCTGGAGCCGAAACCGGAGCCGGTGCATTACTTGGAGCCGAAACCGGAGCAGCAGACGCCGCCCCGGTTCTTTGGGCTGGAGGAGGAAGTCGACGACTACGGCCTCGTCGCGCCGGTGCGGCGGGGCACGGCCGACGTGCTGTTCGGTGACCTGCCCCCGGAGATGATCGACTTCTTCGAGCTCCCGCCGCCTCCTTCGCCGTCAACTCGGCTGTAGATTGTTATTGACCCACGCTGGACGCATGAGGCGCATCATGAGTCATAACTTGGCCATTATCGATGCTCTGTTCGGGGTGCAGTCTAAGCTTAGCATGCATCCATTAGTCTGAAATGCTAATATGTTTTTTTTTCGGGGCAAAAATAGGTTGTATCATTATACTCATCCAAGGAAACTGTGTTATTGTAGTTTTAGGGACATGTCTTTCTG